TTGAGGACGTGCACGGGAACAAGTCGTTGGTCACCACAATGACGACCCAAACCCTGCGCATTGGCGACGCGAGGCTTGGCAGCCTCCCGCTCCTGGTGGCCGATATCGCTGGGTTCGACGTCGTCCTCGGGTTCCCTATGCTCCAGTCGCTCAGCCCACGTGTCGACTGGAGACAGGGCACCTTGGAGTTCACCAAGGATCTCTCCTGCGGAGAGCGGAGACGCGCCAAGCACAACGGGCGAGAACGGGCCACGCCGAAGAAGAGAGGTCGGCGTAGCCACTCACGCGCGGAGAGGAGTCTTGACGGGATTTCAAGTCTCTCCGCAGTGGAGGAGAGGAGTGAAAGTGCAGGGACACCCCTCTCCGCGCCGCCGATCCGACCGGTACCCCACCGGCACGAGTTCGTCAGCGCTGAACGGCTGGTGCAGGCCGCCAGCCAAGACGGGCCGATTGGCATGATGTGGCTCGACGTTGACTGGCCCACGCTGCGGGCCTGTGGCTTCGTCGAGACCGGTGACGGCTCAGAGGAGGAGCCGGAACCACCCGACATTGCTGGCATTCCAGCAGAGTACCGCGACTTCGCCGACGTCTTCAGCGAGAAGGAGGCGGACCGCCTGCCACCTCATGGCGAGCGCGACCTCAAGATCGAGCTCGAGGAGGGTGCCAAGCCGCCTCAAGGGCCCCTGTACCCTAAGGGCCCTCGGGAGCTGCAAGAGCTACGGCGCTACCTCGACGAGATGCTTGGTAAGGGCTTCATCCGCCCGTCGCGCAGCCCGGCGCGATCGCCCGTCCTCTACGTGCCCAAGAAGGACGGCAGCCTCCGTCTCTGCGTCGACTACCGCGGTCTCAACAAGATCACGGTCAAGAACCGCACGCCGTTGCCCCTCATCGACGAGATGCTTGGCCTGCTTCGCCGCGCAAAGGTCTACACCAAGCTGGATCTGCGCGCGGCGTACAACCTGATCCGCATCGCTGCCGGTGATGAGTGGAAGACGGCGTTTGGCACTGACTTTGGCCTGTTCGAGTATCTGGTGATGCCTTTTGGCCTTGCCAATGCACCAGGGCATTTCCAGACAGTGGTCAACACCATCTTCAGGGACATCCTGGGGGTGTACGTCGTCATCTACCTCGATGACTTCTTCATCTTCAGTGATAACCCGGCTGACCACACCAAGCACGTCCGCGAGGTGCTGCGGCGTCTTCGAGAGCATCGCCTGTTCTGCAAGCTCTCCAAGTGCCAGTTCAACACCACCGAGGCGGATTTCCTTGGCTACATCGTCACGCCAACGGGCCTCTCCATGGAAGCAGAGAAGACCAAGGCCATCGCGGAGTGGCCAGAGCCCCGGTCCATCCACGACATCCAGGTCTTCCTAGGCTTTGCGAACTACTACCGCCGCTTCATCCGGCACTACTCTCGCATCGCCCGACCGCTCACAGATCTGGTCAAGCCGGTGCAGCGTTTCCGCAAGTTCGAGCTGCCTGAGGCGGCCAAGACGGCGTTCGTCAACCTCAAGAAGGCGTTTTCCTCGGCGCCCATCCTTCGGCATTTCGACTACGACCTGCCGACGAGGGTGGAGACCGATGCCAGCGACAACGCCATCGCGGGGATCCTGAAGCAGGAGCACGACGGCCTCTGGCACCCCGTTGCTTTCTACTCCAGGAAGATGACAAGCGCCGAGGCCAACTACGAGATCCACGACAAGGAGCTCCTCGCGGTCGTCGCCTCGCTCCGCCACTGGTACCAGTTCCTAGCCGGGCTGCCCAGCCGCTTCGGCGTGCTCACCGACCACGACGCGCTCAAGTATTTCGCCACGCAGCGGTGGATTTCGCGCCGCCAAGCTCGATGGGCGCTGCATCTGGCCGATTTCGACTTCGAGATCGTCTACCGGCCCGGCAAGCTCGGCGGCGAGCCAGACGCCCTGACACGCAGGTCGGATATGACTTCTAAGGAGGGGGACAA